ATCTATCTATCTATCTATCTATCTATCTATCTATCTATCTATCTATCTATCTATCTATCTATCTATCTATCTTTTACTTTCCAAATTTTGATCTGTGAAAATTCACTACCTGTGAATGTATAAGCAGAAATAAGCTGTATTTTGGAAGGATGTACTGTATCTGTAAAATGTTTTTTAAGGAGTAAAGCATACGAACCCGAATTTCCTGAAGATTGTGAAAATTGTTCCCTACTCTCACAGAGATTTTGCTTGGAGTGTAACTTTCATCAGATTTATAATCTGCATAAATGCATAAAGTCTTCACAGTAGTTTTTCTTCTGGAATTAAACAATTACAAAATCAAGATTAGATGATAAAAATGTATCATGGTAAAACAGTACCATTCTTTGGAAACATTGCAACGTTCAAACAGTAGGTTAAAAAAAGGAATACTGGAAAGAATTCAAGTTTTTCCTATCTGAAATATATACATTACTGTTTCTAAGTATCCTTGGATTCATTACCGTAATTATCCCAAGATTCGAATTCTAAGCAATTTTATTTATTTATCTTAGTATTCAAAATTTGTAACCAAATATTTGTAATTTGAAATTTTAAAAAATATAATTTAGGTTAATTCATATTTTTCAATTTTTATTTCATTCTAAAGTAATGTGTAAACAATAAGCGAGGCTTTTTTTGCATATAAAAAGTGAATGGAATAAAAATACAATATTAAGTTACAACAGTGAAAGAATAATTTGTCCTGAAATACCTGAGATTTTGTGGCCATGAAATACATATCTAAATTATAATTTTTAAAGCTAGAGTTAAAGCAAAAGTATAATTATACTTATTTTCAAAAAATAGTATTTTTTTACAGGCAATGATTAACAAAACAAGGTACGTTTTCTGTTTTTATTTATGAAGAAAGAAGGATGAATATGTACAGTATTTCCCCACATCTTCAACTATAACACTGACCCACTTACCCATGAAAAGGTGAGGTTATGGAATATCTTAATTTTAAAATATTTAAATCTATTTTGCGGGCAATTAAACTATGTTTCTCATAATATTATTTTGAATCAATTCAGTTTTCAGTAGGCTTCTTTTACACTTTCACATAATTTTTAAAAAGGTTGTATTTTAGCTAAACAGTACTGTATATTTAACTACCGTACCGTGAAATCTCACTTAACTGAATGACTTAGTGAAGAGGTGTCCCTTATTGATAAAAGTCCAATAAACCGAAGACAATGTTATCCTAGTGATGTAATTGAAGGAAATTATATCAATTCTGTGATACAGGTAGTCCTTGACTTACAACCATTTGTTTAGTGACCTTTCAAAGTTACAACCGCACTGAAAAAAATGACTTATGACCAGTTCTCACCTTTTCAACCCCATGGTCATGTGATCAAAATTAAGGCACTTGGCAACTGGCATGAATTTATGACAATTACACTGTCCTGAGGTCATGTGATCACAATTTGACACCTACCCAACCAGCAAAGTCTGATAAGCAAAGTCAATGGGGGAAGCCAGACTCACTTAGCGACCACACAATTTACTTAATAACTTAAGTGAGTCATATAAAAACTATGGGGAAAAAAGATCTTAAATGGGGCGCAACTCACTTAACATCTACCTTGTTTAGCAAGAGACACATTGGGCTCGATTGTGGTTGTACATCCAGGACTGCCTATAGTGATAGGGAGATACTTCTCTGAATGCATCCCAACATTTCCAGTGAGTGCAGTTCTGTCATTGAAAGTAGAAATCTGGTAGAAAATAACTCTGAAATGATGACTGACTGGGCCTTGGGTTATCATGTGTAGGTGGGTATATAAATTGTATAAGAGATTTTTTTTAAAAAAAAGGTAAATGCATAATAATGAAAAATACTGGTGCATAAATATTCACTACCTGAATTGGATGTTGACCAAATGAGGCTGTGATCCATCAGATTGCCAGTATGTTTCTAGGTTATCATCTCGTAACTGATCCACCCCAAAGCCTATTTTGAATATACAGAAGCAATAGTAGCATATAAGTAGATAGATCCGTGTTTTAGTATTTTCTATGTTTCCAAAAGCGCTATGCTATTAAAACTCTTATGTCTCTGATCTTAAACTGGGTGGAATGGTGCATCATACAGTGAAATTTATAACCAAGGGACCTCGAATGGGCTAACTAAAGAATGTGTTCAAAATCTGGGGCGCATACCCCACATGGAACTGAAATTTGGCAAATTTTATAAAACGTTTTATGATGTAAACATTTATAAAATATTTCCTATTGTCAATTCTTGATTTTTGACTATCTTATACAATTCAATATGGGCTACTTTCAAGGCAGATACACCTTTGAATACCTGAATCTTTAAGATTTTCTTTCCACTACATTAGAAGCTCTATCACTGTTCAAGGCATTGAGGAATCTGGTAAGGAAATGTCTCTGAAATGATGATCCAAGGACCATGGGTTGTTCAATGGTAATCTAAAAAGCTCCTGCTAGTGAAAAGGAGTAGCGCACATTCTATATTCCTGAACTATTTTCTTGGACACCAAATACCTAAAACACTTAAGTTTGATTGTCACATCTAATTTATATTAAAACCAAAACTTAAAACCAAAACTTTACTTTTAAAGGGAGTTTCTGGCCTGTTTATAAACAAGATGCTTCTGCAATTTACCTGGTTTACAAGATGAAAGAGACCAAACAGCCTGTGAACCTATTTCTCGAACAGTTCCTGTCCTTTCCAGCTGTTTTGGATCTGCACCAGGGGGAGTCTTGTTAGCAGTGGTCATTTTTCACTAGGGGAAAAAAATAAAAGTATATTTGAATTATTCCACATTCATGACAATAGGAACAGAAAGGAAAATGTTGAAAAGGTTTGCCGCAAATGTAGCAATCTTTGGTTGAAATATTTTAGGTGATCTTCCTCCTCCCTCATTTTTTCCAGCTTTTCTCATTTTATGGACCTAATGGCTTATAATTACTTTAGACTAAGAATAGAAACATATTTTTTGGTTAATAAAAACAAGAACGGGAGTATGTTTAGGAATTTTAAATTTAAAAGAAAATATAAGGGTGGAAAATAGGATTGAGGTTAATCATGCTTAGAATAAATTATTGAGCAAAGGTCTACCAATCCATTAAACAGAACTGGAAGTGGCTGTACTATTTATTGGCTTATCTATAGTCTTTTGTAGTCCCAAATTATTACTTTGGGGATTTTACTGGAGATTAAATATCTCACAGAGTAACAAGAGACTCAAATCACCCAAATTCTATCCTTTATACAAACTCCCCAAATTTACTTTTTTCATTAGTTGAGAAACATTGATGTAAAGGAACATAAATTAGGACAGGAGCTGTGACTTTTTATTTTCCCCAGGTAAAACTCAGCAATGGGACTGTCTCTTAGATCATAGCCATAACAAGGCTAAAATGAATAGTAATCAGCATAGTTCCATTCAGAAGTCCTTGACAAAACTGAAATATCAAAAATGCCTATTTTTCTTATATAATTGATGATTCAAGCAATTTATTTTATACTTGAAAATAATCAATGATGAATTTGAGTATAACTAAAAGTTATAGAATAAATGAGTCGTCCATACATTAAACGTCACAAGACAATTTTTGCTGAAATCATATCACATTATCTTTTTTGCTGATATTCATCTTTAACTTAAAAATAAAAGAATAAAATTATTCTTCAGAGTTAGCTGTAACAGTAATAAAAATTAACAGGAATGATTTATAAGATAATTACACAATGGGGAAATTCAGAAAGACCTTTAAAGTATATTAATTACAGCTACTGGAGTGATTTCAAATGTATTAATAATAGCAAGAATAGTTTCCAGTGCGTTAGATCTTTCCAAACTGTTTTTATATTATTTAAAATGTCAAGAATCTGTGGTTTGTGGCCACGTGTTAATTTTATTTTGGAAAGCCATTTTCCACTTTAATAATATGGTCCTTTATTATTAAGAAACTTCCCATGACATTAAAGAGTTTCCTAGACACAGAATTAGAAAACAAATGTTTAGGAAGTCATAATCAGTTCATCACTTAGCTGTATTATAGAAATAATGAAGGTATTTGTAATTAGATTTCTGTATATGTAGAGCATGGTTTACAAGTTTGTTACATTCTAATTCATTTATACCTGCCGAAAATAATCTTTTTATAAGTGAAATAACTTACAGAATACTGGCTTTGGAAACTTTCTCAATAGTTTAGATGTAATACTGAGGCTAAAGAAGGAAAACGGGAGAATATCATGTTCCATGTTATCAAGGGTTACTATAAGGACAAATTCAAGGAACAGTTACTGAATAACTCCACCATCCAGTAACTAGTACAAGTCATAATGATCATAAGTGTTTCTGTCTTAATCCTAGGATTGTATATAGACCAGAATAGATCTAGACAGTGTTTTGCAGGGGGAAATTACCCAGAAATGACAAGTTAGACCAGTCAATATGCATCATTTGCAAGGCTTATGCAGCTACTTCAGAACCTATTCCCAGTCGTTTCCGTATGCACTGAAATTTTATTCCCCCCCCCCAATAAAACAAATGGTTATGCAAATAACACAACAGATTTAAAAGTTAGAAAATAGAGGCTTCTACACCTTCCCAGGTGCTGCAAAGTACTTATTTGCACACTTTTAAGTATCAGATTCAAAGAGCAAAGTACAAAGAGCAATTGGAGCACCATGCTTTCTCTCAGGTCCAGAACTTGAACTTGTCCAGGGTTGGCAAAGATCTACAGAATATCCAAATTCTAATTAATGTATCTTAATGAACTTCTGTAACTGAAATGTAGATATCACAATTTGACAAGGCATTTCATAGGTTGTCTCCAGCACAAGCTGTCAATGCCATATTTAATTCATTGCAGATATGATTTTGTTTACAAAATGTAGGAAAATTGGGTCCAACAGACTTCAACACTTTAATATTACCATGTTTCCCCGAAATAAGAACTTCGCCTTATTTTTGGGGAGGTCTTGTTTTTGAGGTATAGGAGGCTCCTTAACCTTGGTCCATGGCCTGTAGATCAGCTGATCCAGAGAGGGGCGGAACTTCTGTCTCTGGCAAACTCTTGCCAACCCTAGTGTTGCTGGGCCTGCTGCTCTTTTTGCGGCCACCACTAAGAGAAGGAAGATGATAGCAAGGATTTGCAGGAGCGGCTTCTGTGAGGCCATTCCGCATGGATGGCAGGTGTATGTGGTATGCATGGGACATGTTCGCCCCTTCGCCTCCCCCTCCCCAAGAAATGGCAGTGACCGGCTGCACATGCATTTAAATATTTTAGGGGAGGACTTATTTTGGGGGAGGGCTTATTTTAGTGCATGCACACAAAAGCCCAATTGGGCTTATTATCTGTGGAGGTATTATTTTTGGAGGAAACGGTAGTTCTATTGAAATGCTGAAAAATTCTTTTATTATTACAAATAACTCCACTGAGCAACCTCATGTAAAGGAAATGGAGGGAAATTGCTATTTTACAGCCAAAGAATAGGGCTAAAATAAAGTTTGCAATTAGTTATATTTTTAGATATCTGTACTTTAATTAGTCAAATTAATAATCTCATTGCAGTTATTTAAAATCACATCTAGAGTGAATGTGTTTTCATAATTTCATTGAGGATAGTTTGGAATATCTAATATCTAAATTATTTCTCCTAGTCAAATTAGATTTGACAAAAGAAAATTTGGCTTCCCTATTTCAAGCACACTTGAGGTGTTGTATAGGATAAGAGGCAAAATAATATCTTGAAGCATAACCATTGTTCAAACAATTTTCCTGATAAGATAATGGTAGAATTTGATCACTAAGAATGATCTGTCCCCATGGCTTAAAACAGATTACATTTATACCTGAAATTAAAATATGATCTGTTTATGACTGGAGCTATTGCAAATCATAGGACAGAAACAGTTTTTAAAAATGCCTGTTTTCAAATAAGTTCAGATACAATCTTCTTTTATTTCTTATTCTGATTTCTTACCTTCTATTTCTTACTCTGTTTCCTTACTTGTATGGCCCACTCAAACTTTCTGTTCCCTCTGTATAATTTCTAGAAACCCATATTATATATACTATATATATCACTAAAGAAGCTACTTGAATAAACAGCAAATCGTTTCAAGACCAAAAGAAAAAGAAAAAGAAAAGTTCATTTGTCATGATTCAACTTCCAGACAACTGTAGCTGGATGACAGAGAATCTTCATAGATACATTATATATAAAACACCTTATTATTAACCTACACAAATCCATATGAATATCCCTCTTGTTTTTTTCAAGAGGCAACTGGACTTTCTGGTTTTTCTTTTAAGATATTTCGCTTCTCATCCAAGAAGTTTCTTTAGCTGACTGGATGAGATAGGGAATGGAAGGGTTTACACTCCTTGCAGACAGCTGGTCACTTGCATTCTTTTAGCGTTGCCTCTTGAAAAAGCACCTTTAGGACTACATGGATGACTGAGGATCTCCATAGACATCCATATGAATACTACGATAGTACATACCAGGTAGAGAAAAGCACAGGTATAGCAAAGCTACAACTGAGGCTTTTACCTTCCTTCTAATGTTGCTTGACACTTCAGTCAAAGCATCAAGGATGATCCGCTTAGGTGAGGAATATCATACGTTCTACAACAGCTTTCTCCAACATGGAAATGTACGTTTTGTCTACATTCTAAGCTTTTTAATACTGTCTTTTAAAAATAATAATAATAATACCGAGGGCCATTCCAATTTTTCAGTTTTAAGAGATCCCTTGAAATCTTAATCAGTAATTATATACGGTGTGAATCAAACGAACGCCTGTTAACAGCAAGCCAAAAGGAAGACGGTTACTAAACGTTCTCTAACGTCCAATAGCCAATAGTAGCACGCAGTAAAAGACTGACTTACTCGTCCCGCTACGGTAACAGCGCTACCCACTTTTTGGCCACGCCCTTCCACTCTCCGTTAACTGGTCGCCCGACTCCTTCTCCTCCCCGCCACCATTGAGTTTCCAGACAGCTCGTCGCCAAGTGATGATGTCAGGCAGAGAGAGAGAAAGAGAGAGAGAGCCACATCTCGCTTGCACTTCCGGCGTTTCGTCTTGTCTATGGCGCCGTACGTATCTCATCATAGACTTCAATCTCTATAGTGTGAAGCGCCGGCTCCTCCTTTAAGGGTGGCGGCCATTTTGGCCGGGTGGCAGTCGGACCACATTGTCTCCGCGTCCACCTGTGAGCCACGGAGGCTTGGGGAGGTTTTTTTCACTCTCGTTCTTCCCGCCTCTTAATTTTTTCGGGTAAGTGGAACTCGTGGTAGTTGGGCCCGGTCTGCTCCTTCTCCAATCAGGTGGAGTCGGTTTGGTGGCTGTAGATAAGGCTGGCTGGGCCGCGACTGTCAAGCTGCCTTGAGGCTTCTTTCCCGTCGCGGTGAAAGAGAGGGAGCCTCGCGGGTGAGAAGGCCGAACAATCCCTAATTTGTACCGATGCGGTTTCATTGACGCCCCTTCTTCACCTCCAGGGGAGGTTTATTTCTTAGCCCTTAACATTTATATTTCGCTTTCTGAGTTGTTCGATGCAACGGGGACTTGGATCGCCCATACAGCCCTTAATCGTCACCACCGTTGGACCAGGAAAACCGACGGCCCCGAAGTCTCTCAGTAAACAACAACTGAGTAAGACTTTAATTTGATTCTTCCCGATAACAGTCCGACACTTTTTAACTGTGACACCGCAGTGGTATATCCCAATTGAGCCCCTTAACTCTTCTCTCCTGGTAAATTTGGGACTTCTAAGTATACAGTGTAAGAAAGCATTAATTTTCGACGAAGCTCTTTTCCAAGAACCGGCTTTATTCAAGATACTTTTATTAAGGCTTTTCCCCTCCAGCGGTGGCATCCCTGGTTAGAAAATGTCCTTTTTCCACTTAGCTGTTGACTCTTTTGCTCCCTATGAAACCCTTTTGATTTGACCATTAAGATGGCTATTTTTACCTCTGCTTTTAGATATTTGTTTAAGCTTTGAATGTCTCCTGTACTGGAACCCATGTTTGTATGGTTATAAAACAAGATGATCATGGCAAAGTGATGATGAACTCACGTTTGTTCACCAGATAATTTGTACATTCATATTAGAAATGTGATAAAACAGACAGCATAGTTGTCAGGGTTATTAGGTAGCAGAGATAATTGCTGGTAGTATAATCCCTGGATATTTAAATATTTTTTTCTTTGATCAGAAATGTTTATTAACTGAATCAACATTACAAAACTGCTTTATGAGTCTTGTATTATGCTAATTATCTACAACAAATGGATGTAAACTGTTGTATGTGAATGCTTCCCATGTGTTCAGTAGTTTAATAATTATGGATTGAAAGAATGAACAGATAATTTTGGCTGTCTGGAAATCATGTCAATTGCGGTTCAGCAACATTCTGAATTTTTACTGAAAAACTTTGGAGTTTGGGTGTATGTAATGCAAGATAGCACCTGACAGATTTGGGGTTTGGGTTGTTGTTTTTTAGATTGTGCCATAGCTGCAAATAGTGGTCACATGAACCCAAGAAAAGTTTATGTACCTTTATGCAAGATATTCTGTAAGTGCTCTGCAACTGTTTTCCTTTCAAACAAGAAGCACTGCTCAATACTTTGCCTAATATCAGTGTTAGTGTTACAGTTCATTGATTATCCACAAAAAGTCAGTAAAAAACCTGACTTAAAAATATCAGGAAAATTATTGTATTATATTAAAGTTCTATGTATGTTGTGTGGTGAAAAATGTAAAGTTCAACTAGGCTATTAGAACCACATACACAGTCTGCAGTTTGGTATACTTGATCAAATAGTACTGATTTGTTTTGGATTTAGACTTTGATATCCGATATATTTAAGTGCTGTTTGACCAACATATTTTTGCAGAAATTCATGTATGTATATATATACATTATATATGTATGTATGTATATGTGTCTGTCTGTCTGTCTGTCTTTGGCCAGTGGAGGAGGGAGCTGATTGGGTGGGAGCTTGGCTGTGTTCTAATTGGGTGGAGGTGTGTTCTGATTGGGTGGGGGGTTTGTGCTTGGCCAAGCTTCCACCCAATCAGCTCACACCCCCACTGGCAGTTAAAAGGAAGAAACAGCTGCGATCTCACATTGCTCCTGGAAGCACGAAGCTGAGCAAACCAGTCTGAAGATGACGAATGAGACTTCCTCGAAACGTCACCAAGACACTTCCAAATTTACACGGGAGAAAACCCGAATAATCAAAGACCTACATACAAACACCCGCGAAAACCTCAGGAAAATATATATATTAAGCAAACAAGTAAATAAAATTTTGAATTTTATGTAATTCCAGTAGAAAATAATATATGCAGCTCAGGATTGAGTTGTGCAGTCCCTGTTGCTCTCTGAGCTTCGTTTCCTTGAAAACATTTCATTACCCAACAAGATAACATAAGTCCAACTAGGTTGCCAAGAGAATAACCTAGAGTGCACTGATGATGTTATCTAGTTGGATAATGAAACATCTACAAGCAAATTCAGAGAACAGCAAAGCTCCAGAATTTTGTTTTATAAAATCTTTTATTTTATTTTTTTAATTAAGTTCTGTATTTGGAATATGGTCATGAAATGATGACTGTCTTTTTTTGCCCTTTTAGTGTGTATATTGTGTTCACTTTTTCAATAAAAGCTAATACAACTACAGATCTCATTCCAAATCTTGTCACATGTCTTATCATATAGGAGTATATGAGAAAGAAATGTGGATGAGAGGTACTTTTCAGCTTTAAGCAGTCAGGACATCTTCTGTTAACAATCCCATCATCCCTTGAAGGGTGGAGTCTGCAACTGAATGGAGCTGAGTGTTTACTAGCTGAGTGCCCTTCCTGTCACCAATGAGGAGGGTTTTTTTATTCAGCAGATATAGCCTCATTGTGCCCAGAGACACAAATATCTGCATCTACGTAGGCTTGAACTCACAGCCTCCTGATTGTGAGGCAAGAGCTGCACTTCTAGGCCACCGCACCACTCTTTAAGCAGTCAGGACGGGGAGACACAATGTGCAATCTCGGAGCTCTGAGATCGCAGTCAATACTTTTGCCACTGGACTGTCCTTTTGGACATAAACTGTCCCGAAGAGATGGTGACAGGGAAGAGTACGTCTTGCTGATCTCAGGGACAAAGTCCCTCATTAATCCAAGAGAATGTCTTCTTGCCGGCAACAGAAGCGCAGTCAAAAGCTGCTGAAGTTGGGACAGCTCTGGAATGGGAGGAATGCGGAAAGAGAAAGTGTGTCCAACTGGTGAGGAAATCTTATTGTTATAAAAGAGACTGCCCCCCCAAAAAAAAATTAAAGCTAAATTAAATTTGAAAACAGAAGAAAATAAGCAACAAAATTAAGCTACATTGGACAGTGTGTTATCTTTTTTTAAATTTTCTTTTATGAATGGAATTTTTGCAAATATTTCCTATTTTTTAAAGTGAACGGATAAGTTTTTCTTCTACTATTTTTACCTATGGATTAAAATCTTTTTCTTTATTTTTATAATACTAGTTTGGATGGTTTTTTTTTTCTATTTTGT